AACTGTGGCTCCTCGTGGCCGCCGTGGATGTCGTGCTGAACACGCGACGGCTCTGCCGGGCCGGATGGCTGCGGTACGCGACGGCCCGTCAACGCGTCTTCGCGCGGTGTCAATGCCCCCCACGGAATGACGCGTCGGATATGATGTTGGACCTTGGTGGGATTGTGACACGCCGCAAGACGGACTTGGTCTTCCCGGAGCTGAACTTGGACTATGGCGCGCCGTGTGTGTCCTACATCGCGTACTTCGAGGCGGCCGACCCGATCCACCTCCGGCCGGCCTGTCGCACCTGTGGGTATCTCTACAAGGAGTACCATCCAGGGGGGGGGGGAGCCCTGGTGACCCCGGGGGGGGATCCGAACGGCGGCCTGCGAACCGACCCGGATGGGATCCGCCTGCAGCATCCGACGCATTCGAATCCGAATGACGGCGTGGTCGCGCGGAAGGAGCTCGATACGAGCGCCAGCGCCAACCCGCTCGGATCCCCCGCAAATGCCACCGATCCGTCCATGAGCCCGCGCGAGCGACGGACGGACGCGGGTGCGGAGGAGCCAACCCCCCCCACGGTGAACATCCTGCTTCTTCCCTCGATTATGCGGAGGATTTTTAACTACATTTGGCTGGTGCGCGCGCACCCCAACTTGCGCGCGACGCTGCTTTTGCAGGCGCGCTATATGGCGGAGCTCTTTCTCGCGTATAAATATTGCTTTGGCGGGTATGAAAAGGGGGTGCGGGATGCCGCGCTGGAGGATATTTTGAACCCTGCGGGCGCTATAGCGGGGATGGTGAGCGCCGCGGTTGGGTTGCTTCGTGTGATTGAAAGCGCACCACGCAGTTAGCCTCCAGAGTTTCAAAAGATAGAGGAAGAACACGAGAGCTCACATAAATATAAAAAATATATAAATCACACACTGATGAAGTTGTGCACGTTAAATTGGAAAAAAATACGGAATCAATGTGACTACCTAAACGATATTAATACACATATATATATATATATATATGAAAGAATTTTTCCCCTTATTACATTCCATTTCGAAGATGCGGTTGTATATGAGTACATATATATATATAGCGTATATATAGATAAACATGCTTTTGAGTTGTGTTTAGGATAAGGATTATTTTCACAACCTTCATTTTCGAATGGCATTATTCAGTGCACCCCAATATGTGTTCATTTATTGATATACGTAATATGAAGGCATAGCAAGCAGACGGTGTAACACAAACAAAAATGTGTTTCTATTTTCTGAGTGGGGAATCGGAATGCCTGTGGAGGATTCTGAAAAGCTTCTGTAGTTTTGTTGCTTGAGTTATTTTCCTGCGGAGTCTTCTCATTTCGGAAATGATATTCATGTAGTGAACTTCTCTATTTTTTCACAATATTCTTTCGACCTACTTTATCATATGATTAAGGCATATTCTTTTGGGGGGGGGGGTTCCACACAAAAAAGAATACATTTATTTTTTATTTAAATTATAAGTGCACTTGTTGGGCTTGAAGGTTTTTACTTGCTGCGTGGTGAGTTATCTACGAAACACAGAGCTATAAACACATTGGTTGTCCCCGCGTAGCGTAGTGGATTGTTAACCTTATATATGCATATATATAAATCTGTGCAATACATATATAGCAAAGGAGTTTAAAGAGTTTAAAAACCGAATTTGAATTCTGATGGAATACATTAAATAGGAAAATTTCTCATTCAAAGGTACTCTTTTAATAAAAATACTGTACAATAAACGTATCAAAAAACTAAAAGAAAGCTCTAAGATGCTGTTCGATATTTTGGATATGACGGCATCATACATTCAGAATCTTCTTCTGCTTTTCGCGATGGTACCAGATGCCCTAAGCGAATTGCGCTTCGAAATCAAAACCCTAGTGGAACAGTTTGAGTTGTCATTCTTCCATCGGCTCGATGAAAATCAACGCTATGATAAACGGTTTCTCGGAATCGATCTACCCCTTTGGCTGCCACTTAACACCAATTTAGAATTCGCCACCCTCTGCATCGTGGTGCCTCTCGGTTTGTCATTGGTGAGCGTTTTAGCGCTTGAAAGCAAGCTCATCTTCGTCTGGTTCGTCGCGATGTTGGTGTCGCTCTTCACGTTTACTTTTGGTATGCTTTTGTGGACGCAAATAGGCGAGATCAACGTGTGGGATGGGCAACATATCACGAAAATTAAGACCAATATGAACGGTTCCTTCGCCGCGGTGGGCGCGAATACCATCGATCCGGCGATTTCCGTGCGCATCTGGATGACGTGTACGGGCGCCGTCGGCTGCTTGGCGTTGATTGTCATCTGGATTTGGCCGCTCCGCCGCGCGCTGCAGAAGAAAAATGCGAAGATTCGCGATCAACTTCGCCAATTCGAGCGCGAAGAAGAAGAAAAGAAGTCGAAACGATCCCGGTGCACTTTATCGTCGACCAGGGGCTGTGGCCAAGTGTCGTTGGACGACAAAGACTCCTCGGGAGTGGAGGCGGAGGCGTGGATGACGGCGAAGGCGCTCGCGGAGCATCGACTGCGGGAGTGGGGGAGGCAGCAAACCATCCAGAACAGCAACCATGCGGATATGGTGCTTCAAATGGCATTTGCCTGCGCGCTCTTCGTCTTCGGGTTGATCTGCGTGAATGCGATTCCGCTCGCTCGGGAAGGGGAGCTTCACGAGATCCAAACGAGCGTCGTCGCGCGAACAGTAGGGGCGATCTCGCTGACGCTGTCGGTGCTGGCGGCGTTGTGGGGCCTTCTCGGCCTCTCACGCAGCGGCCGCGCCCTGCAGCTCGTCCTCGCGGAGTGCGCGTCGATCATCTTACTGAAACTCACCATGCTCGCAGCCTCTTTTATGTACATCATCATCACCACCAATATGGTGTCGATGCTGAGCTGCTACGAGGTGGTTTGCAAGTCCGGGACACGTCTTCCGAACGCGCGCACGCATTTCCCCTACTTGTATAAACGCACCTACCCCGAACCCGCACGCCGGAATATCAATGATACCATCAACAATATGATGGAATCTATTTCATTGTCGGGTTGTGTTATGTGTAATGCGTTTGATTTCGAGCAGCGCAGTCCGGAAGATTTGATTCAGACGGTTTGCAATAGAACAACGCGAGAATTCCGGATCCTCTCTGACACCCGTGCGCCGTGTAACTCGAAGCGGACGCTTTCCCTTGTGAGTGAGCTGTCTATTTCCATCTTGTATATTTTATTCCTGCCTTTTTTTCAGTATTCTATATCGCGTTACGCGATACGCCGCGTCAAGGAAGACTTCCCAATCGAGCAACGCTTTGTAGACATCCTGTCGACGAAGGAACTCATTATGGAGAAGCTGAATACCTGCGACAATGAGGCTTCATTTTTGTACCGCGCGTATAAGCCAGAGTTTGGGTATTTCAAAATATCCTTCCTCATACAAAGGGTTATCCTCGCCGTGATAAGTTTCGTTGTCTCCTATGATATCAATCAATTTCACAGATGGATTGGTATCTTCTTGTTTATGACGATCTGCTTGATCATGGCGGGCATCCTGATCGTCCTCCGCCCTTTTTCCTTCCCCACCGAGACGATATACTTTCCCACCACACAGATCATGATAGCCATCGCGAGCTTGCTGCTGCTTATGAACCCCCATGGCGGGATAGCGAGGCCGTATTCCAACCTCCTCGTAATCTTGCTCGTTTTGGTGCCGCTGACGGTGCTAGCCATCGCCTTCATCATCGGACTCCGGGATGAACGCTCGCGGTATGAACGGCTGCTCGAGCGCCTCAAAACGCGCTTTATTGTCGGCCAACGCTACCTCCAGAGCGCGATGGTCGGGGCAACGCGGCCGGGAAGCTCCGAAACTCCGCAAAGGGTGACGAATGAGCGATCAACGGAGAGCGCGAATAGCATCCATCCCACAGTGTATGAACTTCCAAGTGGTTTGACGATGGAGTCCGTCGTGACCGGATTTAATTCCGAAATGAGTTATCCATCTTTCCGCGCCTTTACCGACACCACGACCTTTAGAAACGACCAAGAGAATGAGAAACCGTCGCGGCTACACTTTCGATTGCTGACGCCGGAGAATTCGAGCCGGGAAATGGGCCAAAGCGGCGAGATCGCCCCTTTTAGCGGCTCCGCGAGCCTGATTTCGTTATCGAAGGTGATATTACCGGAGCTGGTAACGCCTTGCCCGGAGTACGACCTCAGCCTTCGCCTTTTTATGCCGAGTCTGTATTTTATCCAGCCGCTACGACGGGTGTATGGGCAGGAGCAGCGTGGGTTGGAGTTGTCGCCCCACACCTCGATGGAGTTGCCTAGGTGCACCAGCGTGCTTGGGCTGACCACGGATCTGAGCGCGACGGATTCCTTCGAGATGACGTCTATGATGACGATGGAATTCAACTCCACGCAGTACGTCGAGGAGGAAGAAGTGGGAAAAGGGAGAGGGGCATCGGGCTCGCCGGCGCCCCCCTCCAACGGCGGGAGCCTCGGTCGCAGGATCGTCAACAGGATGCGGCGTTTGAAGAACTCCGTGTTGGGGTTTATTCCATTTTTACGTGGGCGTGGCGTCGAGCTGGGTGCGACAAACCAAAGGCCCGCGGATAGCTCCCTGCAGAATTTACACCGCACGACCCTCCAGGACGCACGCACGATGTTCATCAACATTGGTCGCTCTATAACATGCCGACCTAGTGGAGTACTGCAGAAGGTGTACTTTACCTACTTGAAGTATCAACACATCCTGCACGAGAAGAGGTTCTTACTGAAAAATCCTAGAGGCGAGCATGCCTATAGGCGCTATCGTCAACTGCACATGCAGCTGCTGCACTCGCTGGACAAAACGGTTCTCACTCACATGGAAATCATGGAGGTACGCCGTTTGAGCGATTTGAATACGGTGGACGCATTGCGTAAAGGGACCGCGATGGATGACCCCCTACTCTTGAGTATTTTTGGACCTCTTCAGGCGAGAAAAAGATCATCTCAGTTAAAAAAGCAATGTCCTACGATACCAGGGTCGCGGGATGTTGATTTGGCAGATGCCATGAGTGGTACGGTGTGCTTTCCAGGAAACATTTCTGTGTATAATGTGTACGTCCTGTCAAAAATGTGTAGTATCTTCAATGAAAGAAATGTTTCGAGAAATGTTTCGAATCCTATTCTAGAAGGTTCGCCATCGAATAACACCAACCAATGGAAGGTTTTTAGTTCACCGGAAGATGCCCAAAGCTCGTCCAAGCAGCTTAGCCCCGTACCGGCCACAGTCAACGTTTCGGTTCCCAATCATAAAGATTTGATAGCGCATAGAATGTTTGCCATGATCAATAGGGTTCTCCAAAGGCAGGAGCAAGGAAAGATTCACATGTTATGGAAGGAATCTCGCAATCTCTCCGGTGAATCGCAAGACCACTCGGGAGGGGCCTGTTGTATCAACGAATCTGCCCGGCGTGAATCAGGTGAGCAGAGAGGGCTCTTTCAGAATAAATCACCTGGTATGATCGCCCCTGCCCGAAAAAATGTATCGGGAAGGTCGCCAAAACCTCCGACTTTGCTCCCCATGCCGGTCACCCGGCGTCCGAACCGAAGGGGCAGCATCTTGACCTCTGCAAGCGTATCCGAGATGTCGGAGGAAACTTACAGTCTTCAGCCGAAATGGCTCGCGCAAGCGACGAAACGCCTGCACACGATGCGATCCCACGCAAAGCAGCATCTCGAGCGAGAGTCTCCGTCGATGCCGATACATGAGGCATCCGACTCCGATGATGAATTATCCGAGGAGGAACCTTCCGACTGGCGAAGTGACGCGTCGTCGTCGTCGTCGTCGTCGTCGTACAACGAAGCAGCCGATCTCTTCCAGAACCTCCTGCAGACCCATGAGGCGGAACTCCTTGCGGAACTCAAGCAGGGGCCGCACAGCGCGATCCACGAAAGCGACGTCGCGAAGGCGATGCGAGCGAAGCACGGTCTCCTCCCGCAGCTCCAGACGCAGGATTCCGAGACCGGGGAGCGGTCGAGATCGATCTGTCCGGAATTCAGCGACACCGTCAGCCCCTCTCGGAGGACGCGCGCGACGCCGCCGAAGCTCAAACGCGTCGTGGGGCGCACGCCCGGGGGGGGCAGCGACCGAACCCGCGCGATGCGTCTTCGCTGCCATTACATCAAGCGCCAAGCCAGCCGCGCGGCGTACTTTAAAGGTGCGGAGCAGCTGCTCTTGGTGCAGCGCACGATCGACAAGAAAATCGACGCCGCGGTGGGGGGTATGTTCAGCCGTCTCTTTATGATCCTAGGCATCGTTGCGACCATCGCGATCGCGCTGACGATCGGCGGGATGCTCTACGAGATCGACCGCAGCTACCTCGATGGCACGCAGGAATCGGGGAACGGCCTCTCCTACGCCCTCGCCGGGTACGCCTCCTGGGAGGATTTCACGCGGCATTGCGTCTGCATCGCGTCGAACCGCTCCATCGCCGTCTTTCCGTTTTACATCACCGACGTCGAGGAGTGGATCTGCGCGAATGGGATGACGAAGGAACGGGTCCGGCGTAGCATCTCGGCCGATAACGGCGAGGTCTTTCATGACGGCTATGCCATCCGGCCGCTGTGTGGGATGAACTTTCTCGCGGGCTGCCAACTCGACGTCGTGACGCCCGCGGACACCTCGGAGGAGGCCTTTGTGGCACTCGTGGGGTGCCCAAAGGAGTTCTCAGCGGAGCAGCGAAAACGGTGGTAGGCCGCGGTGGGGTGTGTCTCAATGGGGTTTCTGGGAAATATGTATCTATAGTGATAGGTATTGTAATATATATATATATATAGATAGTAGCGCATATTACGGCTGGAGAGATCGATCGCAGTGGATGGGGGCTGTGTCCTGGCCTCTCACGCGGGTGGGGGGTCCTCCAAAAGGCAGGAGGTGGGGAAAATATTTTCCTATGCTGTCCTCCGCTAATATATTAAATGTGTTCATTTTAATATCTAGATTTAGTTTATGTTAATAGTGACGTACTCTTTCAAGGACTGTCTACCTCACCCTCCCCTTCTCCGCTTTTGCTTTTTTTACCCTTTAAACTGGGAATTTTGTGAAACTCAACATTGTATGTGGTGACGTGTTTATGTGCTTATTTTCCGACTTTATTCATTGTGCTCTATTTTTATTGCTTGTGTGGTGCATTGTATTTGATTAAATACGAGCATCACCATGTATAGTTCCGCGTTTTTTTAATTGTTTTTTTTTTCGAATTATTATTGTGCGCTATCAAGCATGCGGATTCACTATTCACCTAAGAAGTTAAACTACCATAAAAGGATGCGGTTGCACTCAGGTCTATCTAAAGAAGGGTTGCGTCCTATAAGACACGCACATTCATGTAAAACCTCATGTTAATTTGTGTAGAAAAGAGGAAAGACTGGTGAATTTCGATAGATTACAAACAAGTGGAATGTAATCGAAAAAAAGTGAGCATTTTCTCCATGCGTTCAACAAATCCAAACCAAATGGAAAATAATGTCTCAAAGTGGAAAGATACCTAATTTAGTGTATATAAAGATGTATGAAATAGCACGACAAAAAGGATATATTGAAATTACTGCACTATTATTCCCATTAGTCTAAATTTTAGAAAAGACGTTGTTTTTCACATTCATCTTTCAGACCAGTGTGAGCAAACGAAGAGGCTCATTAAACAAAAGGAACAAAGTTAGGCTAATAATATTCTCCCCCACAATGGCTTCCGAATGTATCGAACGCATTATTGCTTTCTCCCGAAAGTTTCTTTCCCTGTTCATCGCCATAATCTTGGCTATTGCTGTGGCAATATATGTGGTAGGTTCTAGTGTCGTCATTTCCAAGGACAAGAGCTTTGGCAATATTGGATTTTCTCATTTTCTGGGTATTTTGCTCACTGCCACGACGACTCTCACCTACATCACGCTCCATTTTCTTCCGCGCAAGGCGTATCGGCTGCTCTATGCTATCACGCTTTTATTGCTTTTCAGCATACTTTTCTGCGCGCACTCGCTCGGGCTCACCGCACCGACCGTTACGGACTGTGGCAAGGATGAATTCATGCAAATCATCGCGAACCTCACAGAGACCCAACGGAATGTGAGCATCGAGGTTGGATCCCTTGGACAGGAAATTAATACCTGCTCCGGAAATGATGTACTTTTTGCCGGATCTCTTATTGCTGTTATTATGATGGTTGCAGCCATTTTTGATGTGCAGATGGTCTTGTTGCATCGTGTAAGGTCTAAAACCTACGGGGAACGTTTTGTGGAAATGGGTATTACCAATTAAAATTCATCGAATATTTTAGCAAAAAAAATATTTTCCATTCGTTTGTTTGCATATTGTAGCCTTGATTCCATCGATTTACTTTTTTGGGTGTATGTTGAGCCCAAGGGTGGCTATATAGTGAAAAATATGAGTAACAATTCGTAATTTATGTGTCTGTACACCACTAGCCGAAGAAAACTGTATGTGCTAAAAAGGCGGTGTCGAAAGGCGAAGTGTTTCTGGCCTTAGCGGTGATTCTTCTCTAAATGGATTCGAGATCACGTGTTCATGTTTGTGAATATATTATATATAGTGAATACCGGTCTTAAAATTAGCCGAATTCATGCGACGCCTGAATGGATTCGAGTTTGCATATGTGTGTGTGTCCCCTGAATCGTATATTTACCTTGTGTCAACTTACTGCTGAGTCTCAACTCTTGAGCGCATAGTTTTAGTTATCGATTTGCCCATATAAGGACTTCTATGTATCCCCGCGGTGGGTAAAACCCTCGATCGTTATTTAGTATTCGACACAACTCATCTCTGAAAAGTCGGCGATCGCTGGAGTCCGCGATGTTCACGCGGCCCGATTCCCTGTGTCTCGCATCTTCCCCGGGAAATTCTCGGCATGCTCCCAAATCCATTCCAAAAAGGCGCTTCAATAATAGCAACGCACCGCGCGGTGCGGCGCATCGTGATGCTGCCCCGATTGACCGGGAGCGGAACCCCCAAACGGCGTCCGGTGTGAACCAGGGGTCGGCGATGTTTCTCTCCTTTGAGGCCCCCTTCCACGCCCACACGCTTCCCTTGCCATCGCTCCTGGGGAACCGCTCACAGGTCGCGGGCCGGCCTCATTCCCCCCCCCGACATCTGGTCCCTCTCCCGTCGCCGGATGTCCTTGAGTCCTCGATTCGCCCCCCGTCCGATTTCCTGCGGGCCTCCTTCAAGGCCTCCTCGCCGGACGCCCGGGCCCACCAGCCGCTCCGTTTTTTCCGGACGCAGCTGCGGCGAAGTTCGCGATGCCTGTCACCGCTGCAGCGTCGCCAGCTGTCCATCATCCAACAGTGCCCGGATGCCCTCATCCAGTCCACGCTGAACAGCTCCGACTCGAATCGAGTGGCGAGCCTTCGCCGATGTCACCGCCTGCGGCACCCGGAGGACGCCTTTACGATTAGCGGCGCCATCGCCCTCGAGGCCTCGGGGTCCCCGGTGCACAGCACGAAGAAGGCGAAGCCGCCGGACCCCCCGCCGCGGCAGCGGCGCCCGGATCGCTCTTTCCTCCCACCAGGCCTGATCGCCTCGACCAAAACCAGCGGTGTCCGGCGGGAGGGGGTGGAAGAGGCGGGGGATGAATCAGCCCTCCCCACCCGCCCGGCGGTCCCAGTCGACGACCCTTCCACGAGCGTCAGCGTCAGCGTCGTCGAGGAAGGGGATGGCGGGGACCGGCGGCCTTTCATTTCACTCGAGCAGGATGAAGCGTCGGCGGTCTCCCACCCGCGGGATCAGCAGGATCCCGTGAGAAAGTCCGGCAAAAAGACCAACGACGGCATCGTGCACGGCACGACGTCGTTGTCGTCGTCGGTGGTGGTAGCGGTACCGGCCTCGCAGCGGGGCGCGGCGCCGCGGGACGAGGAACCCCTCGGGACGGACCCCACCACGCAGAGTACGGATATGGACCATCTGTATGAGGAGACCTTGCCGGAAAAGCGAGAGCGGATTGAGCGGGAAATTATGAGCTACTACGAGTCCATGCATCGGCTCCGCGTGGATGCGTCGGGCGTGATCCAGCGGGCCTGGCTCTGCTCCCGCGCGCGGGCCGAGCTCCACAGACGACGCCAGGAGCTCTACGCGTTCGTCTATATCCGTCAGCGGGCGGCGGGGTTGTGTATCATGGGATGTCTTCGCTCGATGGTGCTGCAGAAGAGGCGAATCGCCGAGGCGGCCGATCACGCCGCGCGGGACGTCGCGCGGGCCGCGGTCGAGCGGCGCCGCCTCGCGAGCGTCCGCACCCTCGAGCGGGCGATCCACCGCTGGCTCACCGGGAAGCACGCGAAGGAGCGGCTGTGTGGGTTGCTGGACCTCCGGCGCGACGCCCGGCTGCGGGCCTACGCGTCGGCCGCGGTGACGATCCAGCGGTGGTGGCCGCGGGCCGTCTC